CAAATAGTAAAACTCTGAAGGCAAAAAGCAAAATAAGATGAATTATACTTTAGGCCTATAGATTTTTAAATTTTAAAAATGGAAGTTTTGACCATCAGTGTTAACTTGGCCTTTTCTTTTCATGTTCTCACAATGAGAAACTTCAATAACATGAAATGTATTGTTAAAAGATTCTTTAATATGAATAAATGGAAGTTTTTCCGAAACCTTAAATTCAGCATTATTGGTTTTTTGTTGCTTTTTCAGCTTATTTTCTGTAGTTGCTCTAAATGCCTGCAATTGTGTTGTACTTTGTAACGACTGTTTCTCGGGTGAGCATTTCCTGGAAATAACTTTTCTTTGTCTCCGTAGGTGAAGGGTGCGTTTGCTGATATTTTTTCTTCTTTCAAATGTTGTATACCTTTTTCTCATTTGAGAAATTCCATGAGGAATGAATCACGTAACGCAAGCATAACAAAATTAACCTACGGAGAAAAATATCCAAGCAGTGATAGAGCCATTCTTTTTTATTTTTTTTTATTTTTAGAGGAAGGTTGGATGCCTTTCGTGGTCTTACAACGTTCACCTCTCATTCAATGGGTCTCGGGTTCGAAACCTAAAAGCGACAGAAAATTTTCTTCTTTTAAATTTTCTCTTTCACCTCCTTTCCTGATCTCTAACCATGTTTTATCGTCTGCTTTCGCATCCACTTTCTTCCCCCAACCCCACCCCGCTTTGCCCCCCTCATCTGAGTTCCTGACTCTTTCTTCAGCCTTTTTACTGCTACTCCTTGGCTCCTTCATACTGCTGTCATTCTGACGCACCCTAATCTTTGGGTAGGTATACCACATAAGATCTAACAACTAGCCTTCTCGGATAAGAGCGAAAAATTGCGAAGGTCTCGTGTGCAAACTGCAAATAAACTCCAACCAGACTGAAAATGTTTACTGTCCAGAGCGCTCATATGACATTTTTGCAGTTGCGAGCCGAATAAAACAATTACAAAAACGAAACAAAAAAGAGGAAGGTTGGATCTAACAAAAAGGAGTAAAGCATGTCTCAATGACTGCTTAACATTTCTTCAGTAGGTCAGCATCTCCGAGTTATGTGTATCACTGTTATAGAAAGTCCCTTAATTTTTATTTGGCAATTGTAGTCATTGTATGGATGACATGGCATACTATGACAAGACTAGTTCGCTATTGTAGATAGAAGAAATTACGAGTTGGCAAAGAGTTACTTCGTATTTGAGAACAGATTGAAGGCCGACTTTAAAATATGAGTGTGGCATCATGGGGAAATCAGGCTCTCGTCAAAACATTTGTTTTAGACTCAACATCTTTTATGTCCACCGGAAAATACAATGTGTAGATTTTACTGAAAAAACCTTGTTAAGTTAAACAAAGACTCAAAAAAATGTAAATTTGCAGTTTCCATAGACTCTACAGGGAAGTCATCAAATTTTGGCGGTCATTAATATTTCTGGGTTATTTTTTTATCTGACGAAGAGTCCAACCCAACTTTCGTCAATCGCAAATACGAGTACCTCGAATACATTCAATATAGACAGATAATTTTCATCAAAAGCAAAGCACCTGAACAGGCTTTAAGACTATCCTAATAACTTCATGTGTCCCAAAATTGACAATGATAATGACAATGACAATCTTTATACATCTCACTGGGAGAAATGTGTCTTGGTCTTTTACAATGGCAGTGAAATGTTACAAAGGTTAGGTGCACTCACCAATTTACACAACAAAACAGGACATTAGTAAACACAAGTTTTTCGAGCTGAAACAACCCGCTCCGTAAACCTTCTCTCTCTCTCTCTCGCTCTCTCTCGCTCTCTCTCTCCCTCTCTCTCTCTCTCTCTCTCTCTCTCTCTCTCTCTCTCTCTCTCTCTCTCTGTTTCACTGGTAGCAGTGTACGTTCAGTAACCTCACTGCAGTTGGCAAGAATGAAATACTATCTCTGCCGGTTCTTGCTTTTTTTGGAAATATATCGTTAACTGCAGGCCGATAATTGAAAATCCGATTTCAGGGAGTGACTATGATCACTTAGTATTATTTCCGCCTTTTTTTTAGAACGTTTGTCTTGTGCAGATATTCAAAGTTATTTAGGTCTCTATCAACTGTTTTCAATGACGTTCTGATCAACTTGTTTATTTTCATGATGTGCTGTCTTTCCAAGTTGCTACGATAGCAAGAAATACCAAAATTTATCAAATTTTCTATTGTGGAGGTGCAGAATATCTGAAGGACGGATGGATTCAGATTGAAGTACCCAAGGTTCCTCCGAAAGTACAGCCTCTGATTTACCATTTTAAGGATATTGTTCACCTGTTTTTGCCGTGTAAATTTGTTGACAATTGTAAGACCAAGATATTAATTTGTATGAATCTGTCAATTCAATTGTTTCTTGTCCAATTACGAGCGGTGATATTGTTGGTTTTTCTCTTCTAAAATAAAAGATCGTTTCCTTTGTTTCTGAGAGGTTCACATTTAGCAAATTTGAATTACACCATTTGAAAAACAATTGTATTTTCTTTTTCATCGAGGTTTCTTAATCCGATAATAGCGCAGTCATCTGCGAAATTATTTAGGCGTGTTGTTTTATACTTACTTCTCTGATCTTTAGTATATATTGTATATAAAATAGGGGACAAAACACACCCCTGAGGATCTCTGGTATTACAAAGGATTGTGTAAGATTTTGTGCCTTTCAGCATAACATACTATTGTGGTCTCCCTGTCAAATATTCTAGGACCCATGCTGCGATATAATGACTAACTCTCGGACTCAGAAGTTTTTCAATGACAATATGCGGTTAAATTGTATTAAACGCTGAGGGAAAACCAACAAAAAGTACCCTCGTGTACGTTTCAGATGTTTCAAAGTGTTTCAGTATAGAATGAAAAGTACAGCATCTTCTACCTTCCTCTCTTGTTTGTTCCAAACTAGAATGGATCTAGATTTCAAAGAACACAACATGCCATGACATCTGATTCTTCAGTGTCATAACACTTATCATTTATTTCTTTATTCTTCTACAGGGAAGTTACGCTTTAAAGCTCCAGAAGCTCCAGATGCTTGGAGTGGCGTCAAGGATGCGTTCCAGTTTGGTCACACCTGTATGCAGATGCGATATCCATTATATACACCCAGCGACATGAGTGAGGACTGCTTATTTCTCAACGTTTACACTCCAACAACTAAAACATCTCCAGGAGCAATACCCGTGATGGTTTGGATTCACGGAGGAGGTTACGTGACAGGGTCAAGTTCCCTGTACGATGGGACTCTTTTGGCAGCAAAAGAAGTCATCGTGGTCACCATCAATTACAGGCTAGACGTCTTTGGATTTTTGTCAACTGGAGATGACGTAATACCTGGCAACTACGGCATGATGGACCAGATAGCAGCTCTTCAGTGGGTTCGGAAGAACATTGGCGCGTTTGGCGGCGATCCCAATCAAGTGACTATTTTCGGAGAAAGTGCTGGATCCAGTAGCGTCTCTCTTCTAACTATTTCGCCCTTATCTAAAGGCTTGTTCCAGAGAGCCATTATGGAAAGCGGGGCCTCCTTGAGTCCGTTTGGGTTCCAACACCCAGGTAATCGAATATCGGCCTTGACAAATGCACGATTGATCGCAACAGGAGTTATGTGTGGCAATCTGGACGACCCTAAAAAGTTATTGTCTTGTCTTCAAAATGTGGATGTACAGCGGCTACTTAATGTATCTGTGGCTGTTTCTAAAGCATTAGACGTAAATCTCATCATGTGTCCGCGAGTCGAAAAAACATTTGGGTTTTTGCCAGATTTGCCGGGTACGCTTCTTAGCAGAGGTGAGTTCAATCATGTGGACACAATAAGAGGCTTCAATACAGATGAGACGGGAGCATTTATACGCAATTTAATAAAGCGACCCATTTCTCCTGAAGTAGCAGACGATATATTGCATTACTGGTTAAAACAGATGTCTTCATTAGCTCAAGAACAAGCAGCCACAATATTGAAGTCGAGATACATGAAAGACGAATTAAACGTGGTGAACCTACAGCGTGACGCCATGGAAGCACAAGACGATTTCGCGTTCATAGGACCCACCATAATAGAAGCCAATGAGTTTTCTCGTCGAGCACCGGAGAAAAGTCATTACTTGTATGAATTTAATTACAGACCAAGTTATAGCATGTATCCAAAATGGATGTCGGCCACTCACAGTGATGAAATCGGCTACGTTTTCGGGGTACAGCAATTAGTCTGGATATACGGTATACTTCCTACAAAGGATGACTTCTCAGTTTCTAAACAAATAATGGACTTGTGGACCAATTTCGCGAAGACCGGGAACCCAACTCCCACAGTGCATGCAGGGAGCGTGCAATGGAATCAGTACAGTGCAACAATGCCCAACTATTTACTAATCAAATTGAACTCTCAGCAAAAAACATGGCAAAGGCCCGAGGCAGCTGACGTATTCTCTCAAGTTCTCCAAAAGCTTGACGGTACACGGCAAACCCCAGTTGATACAATCATCGGTTAAAGATGGTCTGCGAGCCGCTTTTTATTCTGAGTACAAACCAAGTAACCCTCTTTAACTTTCGCAAACATGTTCAGGCTGAGTCGATATCGAATTTAGAAAAAAATATTTTAAAAAAATAATGTGTTCCTACCTATACTTCTTAAGCCATTCAGCTCACAAGAGGTTTGTTAAAGTGTCATAGCTATTTTTGGTAGCAAAACGTAATTTGAGCTCTTGTATTAATTTCTAATCTAGGATCGTTTTTATCCTAGTGTAATTAAAATGTCACAATCTAATTGTTTTCATACATACTACGTCAGTGTCCTGTCAGCCCTACATGAGAGTGTAATATCAAGACGAAAGATTGCTTATTGTGTATTCACTCAAGGTTGATGAAGATAGTTTTTTTAAAGTCATATTGAAAAACCAGATGTTCACATTCTCTGGTTGCAAAAATTACTACAAGCATTGTACTACTAGGTAACAGTTTCAATATTACTCGTACATTTAGTTTACGAAGTATGCATCCATAGAACATAATAATGGGCACGCCCTACCATCTGTCATAAGATACACGTTAATATTGGTTATTAGGATGGTTTAACCTTGTCAAGAAAATGTAATTGAGAGCCAGTCGTGTTTTATAACAGGATATCATTGCTTCATGTTAGTTTTAAGACTTGGTGAATGCGTTTAGATTTTTAAAATCTGGTTTCAAGGAAACGACAACGTTTCCGAATACACCGGAAAATGCTGTACTCGACCCTTTTGGCTTCGTTCACTAGATATTCATTGTATTGACATTTGTCTTGAAAGATAACTTCTTTTTTGTTTTATGTGCATACTACTCAGATGTGATTTTTTATTAAAAAGCCATATTGTAACGATCACTTCATATTATTTCCCCACTGAGTAGTTTTTAGTCATGTGCTGTTGTTGTAAAACCTCTGTGTCTCCAAAGTCATAGATTTCCTTCCAATACTTTGTTTTCCCTTTGTCTATATTTCATTTCTGCTTTTGTTTATAAATTCTATCATAGCGTGTCCTCAAATTTGCTCCGCACTCAGACTGACGGATACGTATGCGATTTAAATACATTCTATTTCCAAGCAGGATGTTGCATTGCGATCCAGTCCGCTATTTAAATCCCCATGCTGAACTATTAGTTCGAGATCGGTGTGGGTGCTTTATAACATTATCTTTATTCCCACTGTTCTATACAATAGTTAACCCATTTTCTCTCTTTTTTGTGTGTTTGTAAGCATTTCACGGCCCTCGCAACTGCAAAAACTCATATGAGCGCCAGGGACACATTAAACATCTTTAATTTAGTTGGAAATAATTTTGAATTTTCCCCGGGTGAGGGCCGAAGCCTACTCTTATCGATTTTGAATCACCAAGGAATCTTTAACGTGCACAACTTGCACACAGGACCTCCGAGATTTGTTGCTCTTATACGAGAAGGCTAAGTGTTAGATTTTACCTAACCAAAGATCAGGGTTGTAGCTGAAAGGCAGCAGTTAGAAAGAGCTAAGGAGTAGCATTAGAAATGCTGCAGAAGGACTCAGAAGCCCAGAGGGGGCAAAGGGAAGGAGGCGAGGGAGGGGGCAGAAAGTTAAGACGAAAGTAGACGACAGAACATGGTTGTAGAGCAGAAAAGGAGGTGAAAGGAGAACATTTTAGGGAAGAAAATGTTTCGTAGCTATCATGTTTTGAACCCAAGACGTATTGAACGAGAGGGGAACACCATAACCTCTAGATCTTGAGAACCCCTTACCCAATCTCTGAATGGGCCCATGACATGTGAAGATTGAGATGAAATCAGAACATTGACAATATGTTAACGATGGGTTAAGGGTTTTATATTTTTTTAACTGGATCGGGGAAAGTGATGGAAGCAAGTGATAACTGAAAACAAAGTAATTAAAATCTCGTTTCAAGATGAATAATGCTTACACATCATGTCAAAGACATCCCTGTTAGAGATACGGTCACACACAAATAAACACACAAACGATATGGCTACACACAAACACACATACACACATACAACTCAACACACACACAATGGCACCTACCTACCACACTAACTACCTACCTACCTATCTGCCAGTTTACCTACCTACCCACCTACCTACCTACCTACCTACCTACCTACATACATACCTACCTGCCTACCTACCTACCTGCCTACTTATCTTCCTGCTTACCCACCCACCCACCTGCCTACCTACCTACCTACCTACCTACCTACCTACCTACCTACCTACCTACCTACCTACCTATCTACCTACCTATCCACCTACCTACACCAAAACAATTTTTCGCATTTGTTCCGTCTTTGAAAAAAAGAATAGATAATAAATAAAGACATGTATATATAAAAGATAAGTCAATACATAAGCTTCGCAAATCTGAATTATCAGAGAATGCACAGCCTAAGTGTATCGCCCACAAAGGCACAATCGCCCTCCTCCTACTCCATCACCTCCACACAAAAAATTAACCAACATTTTCTTTACTTATTGCAACAACGTTCTTGTCATTGTTTTGATAAAAAAAAACCCAGTAGAAATGATCGTCTTTAATTTTTCTATGAATGAGTAACTTGGATCCAGTAAACATACTCACTGGCATTTTCTCCAAACATCAAGCATTACTCATACTGTTTGCGGCTCAAATTAGCCTACAAAATTAAACACCAAAAAACTAATAGCAAGAATATTGAAAGAGACCTATCAAAATATAGTCTGGAAAACTAAAGCGTTGTGTTTTCGCACATCAAGACTATCACAGCGTTGTGTTTTCTGTTTCTGTTAGCCTAGACTTAGCCACAATCCTACAGTACTATAATCTACTTCCCCCCCACCACCATCCCCATCTTCTTTAAATCCCTTATCTCTTCCGTGATCCCAGATGAATGTACTGTAATAGGTCATTCAGTTCGAAAGGAAGGGGCGCAGATATACCTTACTTGTACACGTTTTAACACTTGCTAGTACACGTTTTAACACTTGCTACTCTCTTCAACCATGCGAGACTCGTCACTTTCCAAGTACGTGCATCTCTATTTTTGTTAAGACAAATCTCTTTCGGCAAAGTAAGTTGTGGGCTGGGTTTCCATGATGAATGGTCTCCCATCACATTGGAAGTGCCCTTATGGGTGGACTTATCACAAGCCATAATCACATGTTAAAGTGCATGTATTTTGCTACAACCCTGAAGATGATTTGTCGACTTACATTAATACATTACATTACATTTTATTGATCCTGTGGAAAACATGTGTTACAATGGCAAACATAACATATTATACATAATTAGAAATGCATACATGCATTTTAAAAAAACACATAAATACGCACATAAGTACACGAACAATTTCATAAACGGTCGCTTTTAAGGACAAGCGGGCTAACCCATATTTCGGGGGTTTCCAGAAATCTTGATCTGCACCAAAAATGGGTATTGCGCCACCTGTTGGAGAAGCTTGGTTTAATTGGTGTTTGATTATAGACGAAACTCTCCTTGTCTTTTAAAGAAACTGAACAGGGGTCCAAAAACTTTACCTTCGATTTTCTCAAAACTGTATTTTCCGGGATAGCCCCCTGGTTTTTTAAAGCGACCAAACATGCAATTACTGATCGCTACTATGTAACGCCCTGCTTTTTTTTAGCTGGGGTTGTCGTGTCTTGCTCAAGGATTCGCCCCAGTCAGCATCAATCTAAATCCCGTGTCACCGACATCTGCTTGACATTACTGGAGTCTGACCTCACTGCTCACTTAGCCACTGGAACCTTCATGACACGTTTCCAACAATTGTCTTGCAAGGTAAGACAGAGGGGGCGCACCATTAGCTCGTGGTATCATGCTTGTTTACGGAGCGCATGGCTCTGGCCCGAATCCCCAACGGAACGTATTGAAATTAGGGCTATAGATTATGTTTTTTAAACCCTCCATCCATTTGGCTCGGTACCATGGGAGATGGACGTTAAATTTGGAGGGTCGGCCTCTTAAATAACCGTACTGTTTTGAAAGGGGCGTTAAACTTATGCAAAGACATGGCATGACAAGACAGAGGCAGAAAGAAAAGAAAGGCAGACCACCAGGTCCTTTCTTTGACCAAAAAATAATAAAAATCCTGGAATGTGAAAATCCATGAAATCATCAGAGTTAGCAAAAAAACAGAGCAAAATATGAGAGAAAGGTTATTGAAGACAACGGCCAACACTGCACTTTGTGGTGCCAACAAGTGAACAAGTCAATAAAGATAATTTGACAGAAAAAAACTCTCTTCGTCAAAGGACTTCGACTATAAAGTACTATAAATTCAGAACTCACAGGCAAAATAATATGTGAGGCAGCCTGGTGGAATCAGGCTCTCGTCAGTTTTTGGGCATGGAGAGTTATTTGTATCATCTTAAAGCTTTTTCATTTGTCTTTATTTGGGTGGAAAAAAATATCCATTTATCTTGAATACAAGTCGAGATATTTGCTAATGAAGGGGGTGGGGGGTTACCTGTTTTCAGAGATAAGATTAGTGAGAAAATATCCGCCAAAAATTAGTTATTTCCTTAGCTTAAGAGTCCGTGGTAACTGAAAATGTACATTTTTTGTGCCTTTAATCAACGGTTTTCAGAAAAATCCATATAGAAATGAGTTTTTTAATGGGCATGAAAGGTGTTGAGTCAAAAAACAAAAATTTGAAAAAAAATTCACAAACCTGTGGAAAAATGCAAGTTTCTTCACTTTGAGTATTTTGACGAGAGCCTGATTCCACCACGCTGCCTCACATATTAATTTGCTTCAAAAGTTCGACAAAATGGGTAAAATGGGAGGCCACACAGGCTTGAGCCCGGACCCCCAAAACAAATTTTTCATGAATTCAATAACTAAATATCACGACAATTTGATATTACAAACATTTTACAGACATCAACAAAAGTTAAGGACCACATGCAAACACTCTGAGTGGTCTTCTTAGGTCGACCTGCACGTGGGCATTCTTGGACTGATCCTGTAGCTTGATGGCGCTGCCTCAGGCGGACAATAACAGAGTGTGACACTGCAAGCCTTCTAGCATCTTCTCGGGCTCCAGCTCCATCCTACAGCTATGCCATAGCTCTGGCACGATCAAAGTCTCTCAGCTTTCGTCTTGGTTGAACGTTGATGCGATACTGGATTTTTCGCGAACGGCAGCTCATATTGCTACCAAAGTGAGCACAGTTCGACACCGTACTTCCGTTTATGATGTACACCAGAAATTTTAACTGAGGAATGTCCGTGGTGTCGCACACAAGTCGATAAAAAACAGCAAATTTGGCTAAAATTCCCAGAGGAAGCATTGCAGTACGCATTGGTAACCCATTAACAGTTTCAGAGTAAAAATTGTTCAAACATTCATTTCAGTTTTTTTTTCAGATTTTTTAAAATTTGGGGCTGTCTGTCAAGGTGGTCCTTAGCTTATGTTGAAGTGTGTACAATCAAAAACCTCAACGCCTAGTGCTAACAGGGTAAATAAATCATACAAAACTAGCCATATCATCAGAAGATGTGACTCGTGTGTTTGGGTAAAAAAAACACCCAAAAAACCCCTGGAATGAGGCTCGAGGATAGACGTGTTGACTGACTGGTGTTCAAATTGGTTAAAGAGAGAGAGATAGAGAGATAGAGAGAGAGAGAGAGAGAGAGAGAGAGAGTGTGTGTGTGTGTGTGTGTGTGTGTGTGTGTGTGTGTGTGTGTGTGTGTG